AGAAATTGAAGAGGACACCAAAAAGTAGAAGGATATTCCCTGTTCATGGATTGGAATCAATATTTTTAAAATATTCATAACACACAGATCAGTGCACAGATTCAATGCAATTTATTTCAAAATACATTTCTCACAGAATAGAGAAAAAAAATATCTAAAATGTATATGGAACTACAAAAGATTCAACAGCCAAAGCTATTCTGAGCAAAAAGAATAAAATTGGAGAAATCACATTACCTGACTTCAAATTATATACAGTAATAGTGGGATACTTTAACACCACACTGACAGTGTTAGAAAGATTATTGAGGCAGAAAACTGATAAAGATATTCAAGACCTGAACTAAACACTGGACAGATAGACGTCTACAGAACTCTCCACCCCAAAACAACAGAATATGCATTCTCCTCATCTGTACATGGCCCATACTCTAAAATCGACTACACATTCAGAGATAAAGTATTTCTAAGTAAATGCGAAAGAACCAAAATCATACCAACCACTGTCTCAGACCACAGTACAGTAAAAACCGAATTCAAGACAGAGAAAACCACTTCAAACCATACCATTACATGGAAATTAAAGAGCCTGCTCTTGAGTGACTTTTGGGTAAATAATGAGCTTAAGGCAGAAATAAAGAAGTTATTTGTTACTAATGGGAACAAATATAAAACATACCAGAATCTTTGGGACAGAACTAAAGCAGTGTTAAGCAGAGAATTTATATCACTAAATGCCCACATCAAGAAGTTAGAAAGATCTCAAATGAACAACCTAACATCACAACTAAAAGAACTGGAGAAGCAAGAGCAAACAAATCTCAGAGCTAGAAGAGGACAAGAAACCACCAAAATCAGAGCTGAACTGAAGGAGATGGAAACTGAAAAAACCATTCAGTAGGTCAATGGATCCAGTAGCAGTTTTTAAAAAAGTGATTAATATAATAGACCATTAGCTAAACTAATAAAGAAGAAAAGAGAGAATATCCAATTAAATAGAATCAGAAATGACAAAGGGGATATTAACAGTGACCCTATAGAAACACAAATAAACATCATAGACTATTATGAAAACCTCTATGCACACAAAATAGAAAATCTAGAATAAGTAGATTAATTCCAGGATACAAACACCCTTCCAAGACTGAACCAGGAAGAAATTGAATCTCTGAACAGACCAGTAATGAGCTCCAAAACTGAACCAGTAATAAATAGCCTAGCAACCAATAAAAGCCCAGAACCAGACAAATTCACAGCCTAATTCTACCAGATGTACAAAGAAGGGATGGTGTCAATTCTACTGAAACTATTACAAAAAATTGAGGAGAAAGGACTCCTCTCAAACTCATTATATAAGGCCAGCATCATCCTGATAGCAAAATCTGGCAGAAACATAATTAAAAAAAAAAAAAAACTTTAGGCTGATATCTTTGGTAAACATTGATACAAAAACCTTGAACAAAATATGCAAACTGAATCCAGCAGCACATCAAAAAGCTAATCCACCATGATCAAGTAGACTACATCCCTGGGATGCAAGGTTGTTTCAACATATGCAAATCAATAAATGTGATTTATCACATAAATAGAACTAAAGACAAAACCTCATGATTATCTCAATAGATACCTAAAATACTTTTCATAAAATTTAGCCTTTCTTCTTGATAAAAACTCTCAATAACTAGGCATTGAAGGAACATACCTCACAATAATGAGAGACACATGAGACAGACACACAGTCAACATTATACTGATTGTGAGCAACTCAGAAGTATTCCCCTTGAAAACCAGACAAGACAAGGTTGCTCTCTCTCACCAGTACTGTTCAACATAGTATTGGAAGTCTGGGCCAGAGCAATCAAGCAAGAGAAAGAAACAAAAGACATCCAAATAGGAAGAGAAGAAGTCAAACTATCCTTGTTTGCAAATGACATGATTCTATATCTGAAATACAGTCTTGGCCCCAGAGTTTCTGAAGCTGATAAACCACTCCAGCAAAGTTTCAGGATACAAAATCAACATACAAAAATCGCTAGCATTCTATACATCAACTACAGTCAATCGGAGAGCCAAATCAGGAATGCAATACCATTCACAATGACCATATAAAGAATAAGACACCTAGAAATTCAGGAAACTGAGGAGGAGAAAGATTTCTAAAAGGAGAATTACAAAACGCTGCTCAAAGAAATCAGAGATGACACAAACAAATGGAAAACCATTCCATGCTCATGGTTGGGAAGAATCAATATCATTAAAATGGCCATACTGCCCAAAGCAATTTGCAGATTCAATGCAATTCCTATAAAACTACCAATGACACTCTTCACAGACCTAGAAAAAACTATTTTAAAATTCATATGGAACCAAAAAAGGGCCTGAATAACCAAAGCCATTCTAAGCAAAAAGAACAAACTAGGAAGCATCACGCTAATGCTAACTGACTTCAAGCAATACTGCAGGGCTAAAGTAACCAAAATAGCATGGGACTAATACAACAACATACATATAAACCAGAGGACCAGAATAGAGAGCCTAGAGATAAAACAGCACACTCATAACCACCTGATTTTCCACAAAGATGACAAAATCAAACAATAGGGAGAGGACCCCCTATTCAAATAATGGTGCTGATTATGGTGGTGGCAGCCCATCCGGAGCAGCAGCTACAAGGATGTCACCTGCAGCGTGGGAAGTGCAGCCAGGGCTGTGTGCTCCAGTGAGCCAGTGAGGGACAGGAACAGGTGATCTCAGTGGGAGCCCCATCCTCTCCTGAGTTGATGGGGCAGGAGCTCATACTCCCAGGTACAACTGCAGCTGCCCAGCCATGGCTCTGGAACAGGCATCCCTGCATTCCTAGGGGACTGGGAAGCTCCCTACCCCCACAGCCTCAGAAGTGCCTACTACTGCTCCGTGACCTCTTCCCCACTCATGGTGCCTGGTCTGGTGCAGACCAAAGTTGTGACTGAGCCCAGGTGCTATCATAACCCATCCAGGTGTGTGCATGCTCCAGGTGGCATTGATACACCAGCCCCCTGCCACTTCAGCCACATTTGTACTTTGAGTGCCAGCAAACATAGGAGGGAGGCTGGGGGCTGAGGGCGGCTTGACGTGTGCCTGCTAGTGACCCTTGGTGCAGACTGCCTGGGCACCACAGTTAGTATGTTGTTGGCAGTGGGAAGCACACAGGTACCTAGGTGGGAAGGGCCACATCCTCGGTGAAATCTTCAAGCCAGGGACAGCCTGAAGCCTGGTGGTTGGGCTACCAGTTCCTTGTGAAGTTCTGCACTGAGAGTGAGAACTTCCTTGAGGTCTTTGGCCAATGGGATGGTGATTTTTTCCAGGCCTGCCCATTGCCACCCATGGACCAATCAACACGTACTTCCTCTATTCTAAGACCATAAACACCATCCCCCCACCCCCACTCAGCCAGATTCACACGCTTGTCAGAACAACCTGCTTGTGGATAAGACCTGCCTACTTCATGTCTCCTCTCTGCTGAGAACTGTCTAGTCACTCAATGAAGCTCCTTTCTGCCTTGCTCACCCTCCAGTTGCCCATGTGACCTCATTCTTTCCAGGAGCAGGACAAGAACTTGAGACCCACCAAACGGTGGGAGTGAAAGGAACTATAATAAATTCTTGTTTGGCTCACAGAGCTGCAGGTGGTGACATGCTCCTGGAATGTGGGAGTGAAGAATGGTGACCCTCCTGGGGTCCCAGACCTAGGAATTTCCCAAGCCAAAGCTGCCATAACACTGTAGCCCTCCCATGTTCCACTGGTGCTGGGCAGCCAGTTCACACAATGGGAAGCAGTGGCAGGGCCAGACCAGCCCACTAGCTGTGAGCCAGAGTGGGGCAGCGGGACTAAAAGGGTAGCAACCCAAACAGGCTGAAGCATGTCCCCCCAAAACATGCTCCCAACCCCTGCTCACTGTGTTGTGGGCAAAAAGAAGGAGAGGACACCTTTGGCCCTTCTGGGAGCCCAGATATTGGGGCTTGCCGAACCAGGGATGAGATACGTTGTAATGTCCTCTTTGGGGCTTTGCAATTCCTAGTGTCTCCAAGCTCTTGGGTGTCACCACGTTCCTTTTGTCCAGATGCTGGTGCCCACAGTGGAAGCTGCTTGCCATGCATCTGGTCCAGCCACAGCCTCACACAGAGCTAGTAACTATGCTAGTGCTTGGAGCTGCCTGCCCCACTGCAGCAACCAGCATGCCTGGCTGGACACAGTGGTTGGACCCTGAACTTGCTCATCTACACTCCCCTCACAGGTCTTTGTCTGGCTCACTCTTGGCAAGCATGAGATCTGGGCAGGTAGCATGAGTTGAGTGCAACTCGCCAGGCTGAGTGGGCAAAACGAGCTCAATGAGTGAGAGCAAAACAAAACTCAAGCAGAGGCACCACCAGCCACATAGCTTTTCGGCTGATGAAGCGACACTCATAGGATCCTTTGACACAGATAGCTGGCTAGTGATACACAGAAGATTGAAACTGGAGCCTTTTTTTAAACCTTGTGGTAAAATTACCTCAACATGGATTAAAGACTTAAATGTAAAACACAAAAACCATAAAATGCCTGAAAGACAACCTAAGCAACACCATTCAGGACAAAGGAATGGACAAAGATTTTATAATGCAGACACTAAAAGCAATTGCAACAAAAGCAAAAATTGACAAAAGGGGTCTAATTAAACTGAAGAGCTTCTTCACAGCAAAAGAAACTATCAGCGGAGTAAACAGACACCCTACAACATGAGAGAAAATTTTTGCAAACTATGCATCTGACAAAGGTATAATATCCAACATCTATAAGGACCTGAAACAAATTTACAAGAAAATAACAAACAACTCCATTAAAAAATAGGCAACGACATGAACAGACACTTTTAAAAAGAAGACATACATGTGGCCAACAATCATATGAATAGAAACTCAATATTACTGATCATTAGAGAAACACACATCAAAACCTAAATAAGATGCCATCTGACACTAGTCAGAATGGCTATTATTAAAAGGTCAAAAAATAACAGATGCTAGTGAGGTTGTGGAGAAAAATGAATGCTTATATAGTTGGTAGGAGTGCCAGTGAACTCAACTGCTGTCGAAAGCAATGTGGTGAATCTTTAGAGAGCTAAAAGCAGAACCATCTTTTGACTCAGCAATCCCATTACTGTATATATAAACACCATGTAATGTAAATCATTTTATCATAAATTTACATACACCTGTATGTTCATTGCAGCACTATTCACAGGAGCAACGACATGGAATATACCTAAAAGTACATCAGTGGAAGACAGGATAAAGAAAGTATGGCACATATACACCATGGAATATTATGTAGCCATAAAAATGAATGATATCATGTCCTTTGCAGGAACATGGATGGAGCTGGAGGCCATTATCCTTAGCAAACTAACACAGGAGCAGAAAACAAAATACTGCCTGTTCTCACTTATAAATAGGAGTTAAATGATGAAAATATATGAACACAAAGAGCGGAACAACCCAGCAGGGCCTACTTGTGGGTGGAGGATGGGATGAGAGAGAGGGGCATAAGAAATAACTGTTGGGTATAGGCTTAGTACCTTGGTGGTGAAATAATCTGTTCACCAAATCCCTGTGAAACAAGTTTACCTATATAACAAAACTTCTCATGGATTCTTGAACATAAAATAATAAACCGATATAAAAATTACACTGCAGAGCCCTAGTAACCAAAGCAGCAGGGTACTTTCATAATGACATGTACATAATTCAGTGGAACAGAATAGAGAACACAAAGATTAATCTGTACATTTACAGTAAACTCAGTTTTGACAAAGACTCCAAGGACATACACTGGAGAAAGCACAGTCTCTTCAATAAATAGTGTTGGCAAAATTGGATATCCATGTGGAGAAAAATGAAACTAGACACCTATTTCTTGCCATATACAAAAATCAAATATAAACAAATTAAAGACTTTTAAATCTAAGACCTGAAACTGTGAGATTACTACAAGAAAACTTTAGGGAAAATCTCCTAGCCAACAGTGTGGGCAAAAGTTTCTTGAACAATACCTCACAAGTACAGGCAACCAAAACAAAAAATGGGTAAATGGGATCACATCAAGTTAAAAAGCTCATGCACAGCAAAGGAAACAATGAAGTGAAGACACAACCCACAGAATGTTAGAAAATATTTGCAAACTACTGATCTGACAAGTGATTAGTAACTAGAATATATAAGGAGCTCAGATTAATCAATAGGAAAAAAATCTAATAATCCAATTAAAAATGGACAAAATGTCCGAATATACATCTCTCTCAAAAAAAAAAAAAACATACAGATGGCAAACAAATATATGAAAAGGTGCTCAACATCAATGATTATTAGAGAAATGAAAATCAACACTAAAATGAGATATCCTCTCAACCCTGTTAAAATGGCTTTTTACAATTGACAGCCATATTCGATGCTGGTGAGGATGTGGAGAAAAGGGAACCCTTGTACACTGTTGGTGGCAATATGAATTAGTACAGCCACTCTAGAGAACAGTTTTTGGAGGTTCCTTAGAAAAACAAAAATAGCGCTACCATACAATTGAGCAATCCCAATGCTCAATATACACAGAAAAGAAAGGAAATCAGTATATGGAAGAGGCATCTGCACTCCCATGTTTATTACAGCACTCTTCACAATAGCCAAAATTTGGAAGCAACTTAAGTGTAGATCAACATATTAATAGATAAAGAGAATATGGTACATATACACAATAGAGTGTTATTCAGCCACAAAAAAGAATGAGATCTAGTCATTTGCAACAACATAACAACATGGATAGAGCTGGAGATCATTGTGTCAAGTGACATGAACAAACGCAGAAAGGTAAACTCCCCGTGTTCTCACTTATTTGTCAGAGGTATGAAAACAGTTTAACTCATAAAGACAGATTATAATTAATTTTAACAAAAGATAGGAAGAGGAATAGGGGTGTGGGGAAAGGGAACAGTGAATGGGGACAAAAAATACAGTTATATATGCTGAATAAGATCTATTATTTTATTGCACACCTGGTTGACTACAGTAAATAATTTTTTGTACATCTAAATTAGCTAAAATAGTATAATTGGATAGTTTGGAACATAAAGAAATAAATGCTTGAGGTGATGGATAACTGATTTACCCTGATATTATTGTGCATTGTATGCCTGTATCAATATATCTCATGTGCTCCATAAATACATACACCTACAATGTACCCAAAACAAATAAAATTTAAAATGTTTAAAAATACACTGAGGAATGGGAAAATGGGAGGAATATCTACAAACAAGTGCTAAAATGACCTGAAATTTCAATAAGTTTTTCTGGTGAAATCAATTATTATATCTGTAACTTCTGACTTTCTGCTGGTTGTTTGTAGGTGCCCATTATCTCATCACATTAAAATATATCCCATAAATAGCTTTCCTCCAGCTTCACTGAACCTTTAGTTCAGCATATGTGATACTTTGAGGTTTTTTCCCTAAAATATGATGATATCTAAATCATCACCCTCAAAGTTATATTTATGGGCAGTGCACACACACACACACACACACACATTCGTATTTATATTTCTTCAATGGCACAAGTCAAACTGGCCTTCACATATAATTGGAAACTGGCAGTAAATTAATGTATAAAATCCCTGAATAGTGTTGGCAAGAATGATCTGGACAAGGAAAGATTTTTTTCAAGGTAATTTTTAAATTTTGGCTCCAAAGCTGTACATATATTTACAAAGATGGAATTCTACTTAACCTAACAAAGAGCTGAATTCCAAGGTCCCAAGAAGAGGTGGAGAAATGCCCGTAATGAGTATGGTAGAACTTTTTTTCTTCCCCATTTTTTGGATCTTACTTTCTTTTCATATGGCATTGAAAAATCAACATCTAATGCATATGTAGCACTTGGATGCAGATTTTTTTGTTTGTGTTGTTCATTTGGTAAAATACATATTTGACTTGTTAGTATTTTCTGAATGATAATCTCTTAACTATGTATTTAATCATTTCTTATACTAGTAAAGGGCTAGAATAGAAAATAAAAAGAACCAGGAATTGAGGAAAATGGTAAGAATGGAACTGGAATTATTGGCACTGTATCATGATATGAATATGGTGTGATTTAAGTCCAGGAGATGGTTAAAATATAAGAATGATGGAGGTTTACATATTTAGTATGTTTGAGTAAAGAGGTTATTAAGAATGATGATTTAGAAAAGAGATGATCACTGAACAAGGTTATCACAGCTCTGTATCTAGTTTCCAGGAAAGTTCTCTGTACATGAGAGTTGTTCAACAATTATTTATTGAATAAATTAATTAATAATATTGTATATCTGGGCCATCAATATTGACATCAATGTAATTATTGTGTTGCTGAAGTTGAAGTGGAAGATTCTGAATTTAGACTGATTTTTGTCTTTTTTAAAACTAGATTTTATACTGCCATGCCAATGAGGAGATATTTTGATGTATAGGAGTCACCTTAAGATTTTCCAACCACCCTCATAACTCTATCAGTTACTGTATGCATTATTGATATCCCACCTGAGTTTAGATGTGGTAAATCACAAAGCACCAATCTATACAGAAATTAATCAAGATTGTCAATGAGTTTTAAAGATTCTGTAAACTATTAGTCATCTTCCTTCATCATAAATATTTTATTATATTTATTCCTTTATTCAGATATGATTTTGTGAAGAATAGAAATTATTCAGCAATTCTTCTGGCACAATACTCTGAAACAATAGCTATGTAAATTGTTTCTATACTGTAACAAGTGCTGGCATAGTACATCACCAATAATTTTTGTAAAAGTTGTCATTTAAAGGACAAGAGATTCCATCTGAACAGTGAAATAAAAGACATAAAAAACACATTTCCTGGTAATAGAAAAAAGAGTGAAATCAAATAATACTATCTATCTTATGATAGTGCTGTAAACTATCACCAAGAGTTTCCATAAACCACCTAAAACTTATAATCTCAATGCGATTCCCAAAATGACATTCAAATTGAGTAAAGAAAATCCTGCTAGTCTCATAATACCATAATTTTCACATTGTTGACTTTAAAAATATTATCCCTAAATAGGCTTAACTAAGCCCCAAAATAACTATTGAAAAGCCTATGTGGATAGTAAATTTTCTGAGCCCTTCTATATCTGAAGATTTACTTCTATTGCCTTCACACATCATGACTGAATGTAAAAGACCTGTCAAAACCTTTTCCCATCAGATCTCTTTAGATGCTGTTATATTTCCTCCAGGACTAAGATATGTGGAGCCAGGCTGTATTCTTAAAATTATATCTATTATTTTCCCACATCTTAAATGCATGTAGAACTTTCAAATTTATTCTAATGATGAAGTAATTTCAGAATATGTATTTATTTTCATTATTTTTGTCTGCAATTTCATAATCTCTTTCAATATGCATATTTCTTTGCCTCTGGAAAGTTGTCTTCTACCATATTTTTAATTAAAACTTTCGGTAAATTTGTTCCTCAGGTGCGACAATTATTTATAGATTAGATCTCTGTTTTATTTTTTCCATAGCTACAATTTTCTCTCCCATTTTATCCCTTTTCACTGTCTCTGGATTCCAATAAAAATAAGTTTTCAGTCTACATTACTAATTTTATCTTCTACAGCATGTTTCTCTCTTAAGTAACTCCAATGTGTCTTTTAATTTTCTTATCTATTATTGCCTTTGAGGTACACGGAATCTCTTCCTTGTCTTGCTTATTTTCGTTTTTATCTATTTTTGTTGCCTATACATCTTAGTCTGTTATCCATATGCATTTGTGCTCTTATATCTCATGACATGGGTTTTCTCTACTACGTTTAGGATGTCAAAGAAATTTTACATACTTTCTTCTGGCTCTTGCAGAGTCTTATTTGTGGTGATATTCTCTTCTTTTGCACTTTAGGTGAGGCTAAATTGCTGTGTGTTTTCCTTTTTTAATCATTTTCAAATGAGAAAAATACTCTGCAAACAAAATATTTAACAACAGAACCAGTGAACTATTTGTTTTCAATCTAGCCTAACTCAAAGAATGGTTAGATAGTTTATCTGGTCCATAGAGAACAGTTAATGTGCACATGATTTTATTCTGTTTCCAGTTTTTTATATGCCATGCACTTAAGGTAGTTTTGCTTTCTTCCTTCAGCAACATTTTGTTTTTTGCACCCCACTTATTCCATAATGTATCATAAAAATTTGGAATTTCTCTCTCTCTCTCTCTCTCTCTCTTTTTTTTTTTTTTTGGTCAGGCACCATGGCTTATACTTGCAATCCCAGCACTTTGGGAGGCCAAGGCGCAAGGGGATTACTTGAGGTCAGGTGTTCAAGACCAGCCTGGCCAACATGGTGAAACTCCATCTCTACTAAAAATACAAAAATTACCTACTGTGGAGGATGAAGCACTAGAATGGCTTGAACTCAGGAGGCAGAATTTGCAATGAGCCGAGATCGCACTACTGCATTTCAGCTAGGTCTTACATATTCACCAGATAAAATGTACAACTACCAGTTGCCTGTCCAGTAATTTTTCTGTGAGTTGCTATCTCTCAATGAACATAGAAAGATGGATGAGTTTAAGAATACTCTGTCTCACAAAATAGCATCTTCACAGTAGAGACATGGTTGCTTAGAATTCTGGTTATTATAGGTCCTAGGATTCTGAATGGGCCAAAATTGAGTTGGTCTACCTCACTTCTACTCAGAGATGATCTTACTTTCATGAGGTAGAGTTTTTCTAGTTTCTTAATCTAGTCTCACTAGCCCATATATTGGCCTTCATTTTATCTTTTTTAAAATTTTTGTCTCTTTTTTTATTGCCCTGCATGTTCTTAGCATTTTCTACAGGTTTATAATATTTTATAGGATATCTGCAGAGATTTAGTCAGAAACTAAAGGTCAGATATATTTTAAACTAGAAATTTCCAATTAATTATTCAACATAGCATATGTTACAAGTGTATAAAAGAAGTATCCATAAACAAATAAATGGATAAAAAACGGTGGTTGCCAGGGGTTGGGGCTGGTGGAAACAGGGAGATGCTGGTTACTGGGTAAAAACTTTCAGTTACAAGCTGAATAAGCTATTGGCAGTAGCATGGTGATAATAGCTAATATTAATAATACATTGTTTACTTGAAATTTGCAGAGATTAGATTGTGTTTCCACCACACACACAAACACATACACACACACGCCAATGATAACTAATTATGATGATGGATGTGTCAGTTGAATTGACTGTAGCAATCATTTCACAATGGATACATGTATAAAATAATCATGTATACCTTGAATATATATAATTTTTATCTGTCTATTATGCCTTAATAAAGCCGAAAAATTAAAGTGTACAACGTTAAACAGTTTGACAAGATTGATGCAAGTTCATCATAGCTGCTGGGGAGAACATCTCAATGCTCTATTATTGGTTGCTTTGTAGTTTCACTATCCTTTTAGATTGATAAAACATCATACACACACAAGATATTTTAATCA